CTGTTGTTTCATTCTAATGTTTAACTTCTTCAATGAATGGAATTATATTGTATAGAGAGCATTGAATTATGAGTCAAGTGCCTAATAAATGACAGCAACCAACACCAAGTCACACAAGCCAGAAACATGGACTTCTCCTCCTCCTCATCCCCTCCTCCATCTCAAATGGTCACAAGATCCTGTACATTTCAAATCCTTAAAGATCTTGGATCTATCATCTCCTCTCCATTTTTGTTTCCTCTTAGCTCGGCCATTTCCGTGTCTCTCCTAAACTAGTGAAATAGACTCATAACGGGATTATCCTTGCTTCCAAACCATAGTCCATGGCATTGCTCAAGCAGTTTTTCAAAATACCAACTTGATTGCTTCTTGTTTAAAACTCATCAAGAGCTTCCCTTTTCTCTTTGGATAAACTCCAGTCTCCTTGGAAAGGAATAAAAGGTTGCCCATAATCTGGTCATTTATCTCTTCCCCCCTACCCAAGGTGAATTTCATACGTATTAGTCTCTCTGAAATCCCCAGAACGTATTTCAGGGTCGTGTCTCTACGCTGTTTCTAGTTTCTCCTAATCCTGACTGCCCTGTCCCCCGACTCATGGCCACCTCCCATGAGTTAGTGAGGAGACCAGTGAGGAGTTCATGGCGAGATGATTAAGTACACCATCATGTTGACCTGATTTTTCTTTTCTAGTGAGGCCATCCAATAAAAGACAGTGAGAGTCTCTTATTTCTCCCCAAAATACAGTATCATATCTTCCTTTATTACTAAGTATTTTGGAAGCTTGTTTATAGACCTTATAGTCAAGAAGGTCATCACCAGATATATATATTCTTTCCACAGCTGTCAATTTTAGGTTGACTCTAAATCTGAGGATGATCAGATTTTACTTCTCTCCTCCAGATTCTGAGCATCTTACAAAATTTTAAACAGACAAATATAGGGGCAATGGAGAATTGGTTGGGGGGAAGCAAAATGTCATTAAATACAAAACAGTTGCCTTATGTTCCAAAAAGAAATGTTTTCTAATATATAGATGTTTCACTGATTTGCTGTTTTTATTTTTTCAACAATTTTTTCTTTCTTTGTTTATATGTCCTTTCATCCCCACCCTATTATCTGTGAAACTAGGGACCATGCCTCATTTTTGTTTTTGCACAGAGCCTTGGACATAGTAGACATTTAGTAAATGTTTGTTGAATAAAATCCGAGTGTTTTTGATCAATGTCAAGGTGCGATCTCTATGCATTTCATTTAACTGTTACGAGGATGGATTTTTTGTATGAAAAAACAAATTTTTTAAGAAACCATTAAATGAGAGCAGTGAATTTTGAATGGAAGTTCTGGAAACTTTGGCTTCTCCGTGGCAGCTCTGGAGGATACTGGCAGAGGCCAATGAACGGAGCTTGAATCTTCCCACCCAAATTTCGACCAGTGACTCTACTCTCTTCTGTTTCATTTATTTATTGCTAGCATTTTATTTGAAACATAAGCTATATTTTAAAATCACACACCCATTATCATTGTAAACTACTGAAACTGACATTTTATCATTTCCTCTCACCTCTAGAATGTTCTGATTCAATAGCTGGTTTCCATTTGAGTAATTAATCGAGGTGAAAATATTGTTTTTGTTGATATTAGATTAAGTTTTATTAGTCTAGGGTGTCTATAAATGTGCTTAGGGCAGACGTGTGTTCTACTTTTACTAAACTCTAAATGAAATTCAGTATATCTTGTGCTGTCTTAGAAAGTACAGATTTTTTTTTATGTGACATGGCACCTATGAAAAGTATCTCAAATTAACATTTATGGTCATCACATCACTGAAATTACAGTATTATTAGACTCACCTGGATCTTGATATTTACTCCCTTAAGAAGTGCATATATACATATATATGCTTCTTTCTCATAAATTTGTTTTTAAAACTATTTAGATAAATATATTTTAATATGATTAATTTCCTTGTAATCCTTTTTTTTTTAAAGAATATTGTGCTTTTAACAATATTTTAAGGAGAAGGGTCTATGGAGAAAGACTGATGGCACAACAAAATGCCCCAAATCCCCTGCTTTAGATGGTGACACAGCTGGTAGTTGTTGTTTTGGGCTAAGCAGGTATATGACCACAGATGCTTTCTATTAGATGTTTCCTCTTAAGTAAGTACCTGCAAGAGATAGCCCTCAGCAGTTGCACCTCTTTGGCAAAGATTAGCACCATTCACCCTGTGTCTTACATCAGGTTCTGTGTGTCACTGCGTTCTGGAAAGTCGAACTGTGTCACCTCCCTTGAACAGGAAATTATGTTTTGGTATTCTTTTTCTTTGTTTCATCAGTTTATTTTTCTTGTGGTAGCCCTACATAAATTCAGCATTTAGATGCTTTACTAAGTTTTTTTTTCACCTGCTCAAGATCCCTTCACATGCTTCTTCCAATATCGTGATTTTCCTTGATGATGCACCCCTACCCCCTTCCACCATCAGTTCCTGTGGTTGGAATAGGACCAACACCGCCTGCATCTATGATGCTGGGCACCATGCAGGATCAGCTCTGCTTGGCAATATTGGTAGGCACAGGAAACATCTAGAACTGACGTGACTGAATTCTGGAATTTTAATAGGTAAAGAGTCACCATTCCCACTCTAGTTCTAAGAGAGAGCGATGCATGCCAAGTACTTGCCAACCATCTTCCCAACGAGAGGAAAGAAGCTGCCTGAGAATGGAGCTGATCCAGAAGGAAGCAGCTAAGAGACAGGAGGGGAAAAACCCTCAAGTCCTGAACACAAGGTTTAAAACATGCCTGAAATCACTTCTACCCTAGACTCTTCAACTATGGGAGCCTGTTGGAGGAGGCCCTCGAGAGGATGCGACCACTGGTTGACCCAAGAGCTGGACCCAGGCAACTGAAGGCTCCTCACCCCATGTTCTGTCCACCATTCCTAGAGTGGGAGCCATTTCAAGCACACAGCCTTGAGAGAGCCACGTGTTGTTGAGACCATCTGGACGGTATACCGGACTGAACCCAATTTAGACCTCTATATAAACTTTCAAGGTTTACTCATCATGTGGCCGCCCAAGACAAGTCTCATCATAGGTAAGTCCCTTTGCTTATTAAACCTCCTACCTACAGGTCTGGAGAGGTGTGCCTCTTTCTTTGGTCTCTCCTTGCCCTTCCTGTACAGGGGGCAGTTTGCAAATGACCAGAGCCACTGAATTTCTCCCTAACCTAAACCAGTTTTAGTTGGCTTATATCAAAAAGAACAAGTATCTTGATAAAATTTATAATACAAGTTTGGTGACTCAGTGCCTTTAAAAGGAAGTAATTGATTACTTTTATCACATTATAATTCTTTTGTTAGACAATTAAGTCAGTGTGTGCAATATAACTGGTGTTTGTTGTTTTCTGTGATATAAACCCCATATACATACTTAATACTTATAGCAACCATGGATACAATCAGCCCGTTTTACAGAGGAGCAAAATAAATAACTTCCAACATAAAGTCAATTACCTAGTGTTATTTCCGTTTCTTGGACTCCAAAGTCTGTGTTTTTTTCTGCTATGTATTCAGAAAGCAAAATACAACTTCTCTTCTACTGTAAAATAAGCACTGACAATGGCAATCAACAGCTCTCTCACTGTGTAACTGTGCACACACAAATGCTCCTCTCTCATCTAAAGATATCTAAAGATAGTTATCTACACATACCTTTTCCTAATTTCTTTCCAAAGCCGCATTCTATGTTTCCTAAGCATCCATTACAGAAAGCTCTCAGGTGATTTAAAAGCAGAAGCTGCACAATGCCCCAAGGGAGAGGACATGCTCTTGGTTCTTTTGAGTACATTTTTTTGAGCACATTCAAAGGTGAGATAAATAATGCCTGTCTGGTCTGTTCAGGCTTCTGTAAAAAAATACGGCAAACGGGGTGGCTTACAAACAACCAGCATTTATTTCTCACAATTCTGGAGAAATGGAAGTCCGATATCAAGGCACCAGTGTGCTCATGTCCCCCTGAGGGCCCTCGTCCTTGTTCATAACTGGGGCCTTCTCACCGTGTCCTCACAAGGTGGAAGGAGCAAGAGATCTCTCTGGAGCTTCTTTTTTAAGGCACTATTCCCATTCATGAGGGTTTCACCCTCAGGATTTAAGCACCTCCCAAAGGCTCTAATACCATCACCTTTGGGGGTTAGGATTTCAACATGTGAATTTTGGGGGGAGACACAAATATTCGGACCACAGCAATGCCTCTCATTGAAGCTGGGAGAAGAATAGTTGTCAAGTGATGAACACAAGTGACTGATTACCTTTCCAGTGGAGCAGGGAATTCCTGCATCTCCACGAGGAGTCATTTCTTACACTGTCACTGTATTTGGAGGGTTCAAGGAGCTGTAGCTGAAGCAGCACAACTTCAAGCACACTGGGATTTGTGGCACACGTAGAGGGCATTTCTTGTTTGGGAAGATGAAGTAAAAACACCAGTTTGATTCTAGTGGAACTTGAATTCCCTATACATTTTCCTGGGCTGCTTATGCCTTTTCTCCCTTTCCGTTTTCTCACATGACATAAAACTGCTTTAATGAAGCTAATTAATTTAGTGGAAACTGAACACGTTCGAGTGTCTAGGAAAATTGGGGGTTATACTTGGGAAGCTTTTACTCGGTTTAGTGTTCTAGTTGAAGGAGGAAAAAACCCTTTCCATGAGTGTGCAGAGTATGTATCATTTCTCTTAGCATCTGGCTTGAGGGCTTTCCTGGAAGCATAATATCTGACATCAGTACACTCAGAAGAAAATAATTGAATTTGGACATAATTAGGAAAGTTCACAGCTCAGGAAAGATTGGTGAGGAAATGGTGAGATAGCAAGCTGACTTGAATCACTAATGCTCTTAGGAAGCGAGCGCAGAAGCTGAAGCTTTGTTCTGGACCGTTACTGTTAACAAGGTGGGTGGAGTAGATGCATCTGCCATTCTTCCAGGTGAACGGGCCCAAGTTGTCCAGCATGATAGTCTTCATCTTCCTTGGTAAGTGACTTATGATTTTGGTTTATCCGAGTTCGTTACACCAATTCTTTGTGAACCGAAGGGTGTCCCATCCAACTTAACTGTCAATTAAGCTAACAGGGGCTTATAATATAAAGTATCAGTTACAAATTTATACTTTAACATAGTTTATTCCTTTTGCAAAAACGTACACTTGCTTTAACTCATTTGTAACTCTATAGAAAATGTACAATGAGAGAATTGTTTTAATCACTCAGGTTGCTTCTGTTGTATTGTATAGAATAACACGGTTACTTTGAGGTATTTATTAGGATTTGTGGAATTCACATATATACTAGAGCTTTTTTGAAATGAAACCTTCCAGTATCTATTTACAAGTTATAAGATGACAAATTTCGAATTATCTATTTTTCTTTGAAGTTAAATTTAAGTGAGATTAATTTAAACCATTCAGTTCCCCTAATTTTAAGGTGTTAATATTTACTAAGTAGGAGTCATCTAGTAGAGCAAAACAATACCACATAAAATGCTTCATTTTTCAGTTTTTTTGTGACCTTGAGATAAACTATGGACTTATCCCTCTTGTTTTGGGTTATGAATATATTGTAAGATGTTGGTGAAAAAGAATTTCTTTATACTTAAAGTAGAATCCATGAATATCTACTTGCTATATACCTTATTGAAAAAGCTATTATATTTTCTTTGGTATTTAGTAGAATCTATAAATTGAATTCAGGAAAAGAGATAGTTATGATTGTAGGTGAATATTAATAATCCACTAGTTAAAACAAAGCCAGTATATTTTCTGCTAACTCTACACTAATAGATATTGATGAATACAGGCATAAGGGTGGCAAGAAAACAAAGAAGGTTATTTCAAATTATGTTGAACACAAAAGGAAAGTCAAAATAAATCTAACCAGAGAAAATTAAGACAAGAATGAAAGGAGTCTTTCATGTATTTTCAGTTTTCCTTTGGTTTAAATAATAGCAATTCAGTGTTCCAAAATTTTGCTCCTTGTATTTATTTTTAATAATATTTCCTTATTTCTTTCTTTATTATGATCTAGGAGACTTTGATTTTTGTAGATCAGGGAGCAATATAACAGAATACACAAAATATATTACAAAGTCATTATGGCCCCACTTGAAAAGGCAATGATGGCCTCTGGTTTTCATCTTTCACTTCCAAATTAACCTTGACACTAGGTTGCATAAAGGAGGGAAACTATTTCTAACACTGTTAGAGTTCAAATTATGCTGTTTCATAGGTTGAACCAGTATTTTCACATAGTGTGTTCTTCAGAATACTTGTTCAACATCATCTAAATAGGTCTTGTGACGCAGGAAAGTTCCATAGCAAAGAAAGTGGGACATAGTGAATTTTTAAAACAGAACATTTAATATCTTAATGAGCCTTATTCATCTTAAAAAGGGTGATATAATGTGTAACACTCTTCTTATTTATTTTAAAATTGAACTTGTTTTTCACTGAGCATTTCAAGAGAATCCTTGAAAATTCCTGTGTTAAATACATAGCCACAAACGATACTCAGAATGGATAAGACTTTGGAAAGCTAAAGGTATTTTGATTCCAGTGGGCCAAATCATGAAGATGGTTTTTCTAGTTGATTCAGCATTTTATCTGAGTGGATGGTGTGGAAAATCTTGTAAAATCAAGTCAATTATTGAACCCCAAATTTTAAATACAAAAGAAAATGAAATCGATTTGGGAAAGATAACATGTAAATGATCATTACACTCAGGTACCAATGAGGTTTTGATGATGTATCCAGGAGACCATCACCTATAAATTTCCTGAGGGAGCTATTTGTAAGATACAATGATTGATGTCAAATAAAATTCCAGTTTCTTATGAGTTTTGTTTCTGACATAACATCCCTCCTTCAGGGTCTCTGGTAAGCTGGATTCAAACAAATAAACTTGGGCCAGAATCGAAGGGGCTCCCTTTCTCTTCCTCTGGGCTTGCCAACCCAGGTCAGGATCTTGGCCAGATGAGGTTGTCCATGAACGTGTGACAAAACAGAAAGCTGATGTGTCAATTTCCACTCCAGCCCTCAACAAGAAAAACGTGACCGAGCCACACTCGTGGGCCTAATCTCCAAATGCAGTGACCCAGCACGTAGTGCATACGACCCAGTCAGTTGTCGTGGATTCTCCTTAGGAGAAGAGGTTTGGAAAGAGGTAAGATAAACAAAAGATTTCAAGGCTTTACTTGAAGCCCATAACTCCATATTGTCACAAGTGATTCAAAATTAATATCATCCTTCCAAAAAATTCAAGTAAGTTTGTTCTCCTTAAGACATAGCTTGAGGTCTCTTGATTATAGTTACTATGCTGTCTCTATAACTCAGTTGTAATTCCCATATTTTTCTATGGGTTAAGCAAGTTTCAGTTTGCCTGCTTGCAGAATCAACTTGAGTAATTTGTCAAATATACTAAATTAACATTGCTACTTTCTTCATATTTTTAGAAAATATACTAAAACCTTTTCTCTTCTACCCAAAATAACTTGTAAATATCTGGAAGGTATTGTTTTTATTGAATATTATCAGTTATTTATGTATAGCTCATCTATAAACAACTATTCAAGATGGCGTAAGTCAACATACCATATCTATAATGCATCATTGTGTTTAATGATAGGAATACAGTTATGAATTACCCCTAATCCCTTCTCAGTAAAACCCCAGGACCCTGCGGTAGAGACGTGCACATAAATACACACTTTCATTACAGAATAGTAAATGCTATAGTTGGGGAAGTACCAAGATTGTAGTGAAACAGATGAGGGATGTTAAATTCAGTTTAGATGTAGGAAAAGAGATTATTGAATTCAGGGGAGGTTTCCATAGAATAGGTAATTATTGTGTTGAGTCTTAAAAGACAAGAAAAGGTTATTCCCAGAGGAAAAAGGAAAGGAGTGCCTATACAGTAAATGCTACTAGTGACTATACAGTAAAGCCTCCAAGGTACAAGACAGCATGGAGCATTTGGGAAGCTATAAATTCTTGAGGACCTTTGGATTGCACAGGATGAAGAATATGAGTCACATCATATTCTGCGAGACGCTGTGAGGAATCATTCAAAGGATGAAGCAGAGAAACAACAGGACTAGAATGGTGCATTAGGCAGTTTAGGGACTGTAAAGAATCTGTCTGAATAAGGAAACTGGAGGTAGACTGACCAACTATGCAAGAATGGATATGGGACAGCGAAGTTGAGGATGGACAAGGAGTGTATTGTGAATCCAAGTTTGGGTGTCTATGTGAATAGTAGAATTACTGATGACGTAGAATGGTCAACTAGGGACTGGTGACAATGAGGACAATACTGAAGATATTAGTTGGAAGAGTATCTGAAACATTTAGGTGGAGGTAATAGTTAGCATCCATAACTAGAATAATGGGAAATAATAGGATTAAATCATACGTTTGAGAATCATTAGTCTAGAGATTTCAGTTAAAACCATGAGAGTACATGGAATTGCCCATAGAAAATGTAAAAATTAGAATGGGAAAAGTCTGAGGACAGAACGTAAGCTAAAAATATACTTTAACAGCAGAGTAAGACGATTCTGGATAGGATCTAGCTATGGTCAGAAAGTATCAAGTGGATAAGCATCAAGAAAACTAGAAGAGAGTGTTGCCAAAGGAAGAGAATTTCAAGAACAAAATGACATCAAAATACCCAATGATAAAAGTAGGCAAGATGAAGTCTTAAACTATTAAATTTGATGTTATGGAGATGAATAGGACATTTTTAAGAGCAATTTCAATGGAGCAATAGTCATAAAAATAAATTACAAGTTGAGGAATGAATAGGCAGTAAAAAAAGAGAGAGCAAATATAAATTCTTCAATTAAGAATCTTATGGAGTCTGCCCCGTGGCCAAGTGGTTACGTTCGAGTGCTCTGTTTGGCAGCCCAGGGTTTCGCCGGTTCACATCCTGGGTATGGACATGGCACCACTCATCAGGCCATGCAGAGGTGGCATCCCACACAGCTCAACCAGAGGCCCTCACAACTAGAATATACAATATGTACTGAGAGGCTTTGGGGAGAAGAAGAAGAAGAAGAAGAAGGAAGAAGAAGGAAGAAGAAGAAAAGATTGGCAACAGATATTAGTTCTTAAATAGGAGGGCCTACCCAGTGGCATAGAGGTTAAGTTTGTGCCCTCTGCTTTGGCGGCCCGGGGTTCACTGGTTCAGATCCTGGGTGCGGACCTATGCACCATTTATCAAACTGCACTGTGGCGGGCATCCCACCTATAAATTGGAGGAAGATAGGCACAGATGTTAGCTCAGGGCCAATCTTCCTCAGCAAAAAGAGGAGGATTGATGGTGGGTGTTAGCTCAGGGCTAATCTTCCTCAGAAAAAAAGAATAAAGAATCTCATATAGGAGGAATATAGATCTATAGCTAGACGCTCAGTTAAGATCTATTCCAGTTTTATAAAAATTTTATCACATTTTATTTTTCATAATTCTGCTCTTTATCATTAATAACTTAGATTTGAGATAAATAATTGCCATACTGTAATATTGCAAATTTGTTGCTGTTTTTGTTGTTTTGTTACTGTTGTTATTCAAGTTCTGGGGCTGTGCTTGGAAAAGGAATCCACTTCCCAAACCACTGATTGCAGATATTTAAGAGAGCAGTGCCTAAGTGATGCAAATGGATGTAAACATGCATGGAGAATAATCGAAGATGCCTGCAATGTTTCAGGTAAAACAAGGTCTTTAAAGTAAACTCAAATGATTTAAAATTTTTTTTTAATCTTATTGAGGTCATAATAGTTTATAACATTGTGAAATTTCAGTTGTACACTATTATTTGTCAGTCTCCATATATATGTGCCCCTTTACCTCTCATTCACACTCCCCAACCACCTTCCTCTCTGGTAACCACTAATCTGTTCTCTTTGTCCATGTGTTTATCTTACACATATGAGTGACATCATACAGTGTTTGTTTATCTTTCTCTATCTGGTTTATTTCACTTAACATAATACCCTCAACGTCCATCCATGTTGCTGCAAATGGGATGATTTTGTCTTTTTTATGGCTGAGTAGTATTCCATTGTATATATACACCACATCTTCTTTATCCATTCATGACTTCTCAGGCACTTGGGTTGCTTCTGCATCTTGGCTATTGTGAATAATGCTGCAATGAACATAGGGGTGCATAGGTCTCTTTTAATTGTTGATTTCAAGTTCTTGCATAAATATCCAGTAGTGGGATAGCTGGGTCCTATGGTATTTCTATTTTTAATTTCTTGAGAAATTTCCTTACTGTTTTCCATAGTGGCTGCACCAGTTTGCATTCCTACCAGCAGTGTATGAGGGTTTCCTTTTCTTCACATCCTCACCAACATTTGTTGTTTTTTGTTTTGGTAATTATAGCCATTCTAACAGGTGTAAGGTGATATCTCATCACAGTTTTGATTTGCACTTCCCTAATGATTACTGATGTTGAACATCTTTTCATGTGCCTGTTGGCCATCTGGATATCTTCTTTGGAAAAGTGTGTGTTCATATCCTCTGCCCAGTTTTTGATTGGGTTGTTTGATTTTTTGTTGTTGAGTTGTATGAGATCATTATATATTTTGGAGGTTAAACTTTTATCAAATATATAATTTGCAAATACTTTCTTCCATTTGGTGGGTTATCTTTTCATTTTTTTCCTGTTTTCCTTTGTGTTGCAGAAGCTCTTTAGTCTGATGAAGTCCTATGTATCTATTTTTTCTTTTGTTTCCCTTGCCCAAGTAGACATAGTATTCAAAAAGATCCTTCTAAGACTGATGTCAAAGAGTGTACTGCTTATACTTTCTTCTAGAGGTTTTATGGTTTCACATCTTGCTTTCAAGTCTTTAATCCATTTGGAGTTAATTCTTGTGTATGGTGAAAGATAATGGTCTACTTTCATTCTTTTGCATGTGGCTGTCCAGTTTTCCCAACACCGTTTATTGAAGAGACTTTCCTTTCTTCATTGTATGTTCTTAGCTCCTTTGTCAAAGATTAGCTGTCCACAGATGTGTGGTTTTATTTCTGGGCTTTCTATTCTGTTCCATTGATCTGTGTGTCTACTTTTGTACCAGTACCATGTTGTTTTGATCACTCTAGCTTTGCAGCATATTTTGAAGCCAGGGATTGTGATGTCCCCAGCTTTGCTCTTTTTATCTCAGGATAGCTTTAGCTATTCAGAGTCTTTTGTTGCCCCATGTGAGTTTTAGGATTCTTTGTTCTATGTCCGTGAAGAAAGTCATTGGGATTCTGACACGGATTGCTTTCAATGTGTAGATTGCTTTAGATAGTATGGACATTTTACCTACATTTATTCTTCCAATCCATGTGCATGGAATATCAGTCCATTTGTTTATGTCATCAGCAATTTCTTTCAATAACATCTTAGAGTTTTCACTGTAAAGGTCTTTCACATCCTTGGATAACTTTATTCCTAGATATTTTATTCGTTTTGTTGTGCTTGTAAATGGGATTATCTTCTTGAGTTCTCTTTCTGTTACTTTGTTATTAGAATATAGAAATGCAACTGATTTTCATAAGTTGATCTTGTACCCTGCAACTTTGCTGTAGTTGTTGATTATTTCTAATAGTTTTCCAATGGATTTTTTAGAGTTTTTTATATATAAAATCATGTTGTCTGCAAACAGCAACAGTTTCATTTCTACATTGCCAATTTGGATACCTCTTATTTATTTTTCTTGCCTAATTGTTCTGGCCAAAACCTCCAATATTATGTTGAATAAGAGTGGTGAGAGCAGTCACCCTTGTCTTCTTCCTGTTCTTGGAGGGATGGCTTTCAGTTTTTCCCCATTGTGTATGATGTTGGCTCTAGGTTTGTCATATATAGCCTTTATTATGTTGAGGTACTTTCCCTCTATACCCATTTTACTGAGAGGTTTTTTTTTTTTAAATCATAAATGAATGTTGGATCTTGTCAAATGCTTTCTCTGCATATATTGAAATGATCATGTGATTTTTATTCCTTATTTTGTTAATGTGGTGTATCACATTGATTTGCAGATGTTGAACCATCCCTCCATCCCTGCTACAAATCCCACTTGATCATGGTGTATGATCCTTTTAATGTATTGCTATATTCGGTTTGCCAATATTTTGCTGAGGATTTTTGCATCTATGTTCATCAGCAATATTGGCCTGTAATTTTCCTTCTTTGTGCTGTCCTTGTCTAGCTTTGGGATCAGGGTGCTATTGGGCTCATAAAATGTGTTAGGAAGTGTTCTGTCTTCTTCAATTTGTTTGAAATAGTTTGAGAAGGATAGGTATTAAATCCTCTTTGAATGTTTGGTAGAATTCTCCAAAGAAGCCATCTGGTCATGGACATTTTTTTTTGCAGAGGTTTTTGATTACTGCTTCAATATCTTTACCCGTGATTGGTCTATTCAGATTCTCCATATCTTCTTGATTCAATTTTGGGAGGTTGTATGATTCTAGGAATTTATCCATTTCTTCTAGACTGTCCAATTTGTTGGCATGTAGTTTTTCATATTATTTCCTTTAAGTCCTTTGTGTGGTATCCATTGTAATTTCTCCTTTTTCATTTCTAATTTTATTTATTTGAGCCTTCTCTCTTTTTTTCTTGGTGAGCTTGGCTAAGGGTTTGTCAATTTTGTTTATCTTTTCAAAGAACCAGCTCTTAGTTTCATTAATCCTTCCTACTGTTTGTTTGCTTTCAATTTCATTTATCTCTGTCCTAATTTATATTATTTCCCTCTTTCTGCTGACTTTAGGCTTTGTTTCTTCTTTTTCTAGTTCTGTTAGGTGTAGTTTAAGATTGCTTATTTGAGATTGTTCCTATTTGTTAAAGTGGAACGGTATTGCCATGAATTTTCCTCTTAGGACCATTTTTGCTGCTTCTCATATGAGTTTGTATGATATCTTTTCATTTTCGTTTGTCTCCAGGTATTTTGTGATTTCTCCTTTGATTTCTTCAATGATTCTTTGGTTGTTCAGTAGCATGTTGTTTAGTCTCCACATATTTCTCACTTTCCCAGCTTCTGTCTTGTAGTTGATTACTAGTTTCATAGTGTTATGGTCAGAAACGATGTTTGATATGATTTCAATCTTCTTAAATGTATTGAGGCTTGTCTTTTTTCCCAGCATATGGTCTATCTTTGTGAATGTTCTATGTGAACTTGAGAAGAATATGTATTCTGGCTTTTTTTGGATGGAGAGTCATATATGTATCTATGAAGTCCATCTGGTCATATTTTTGTTTAATTCCAATATATACTTGCTGACTTTCTGTCTCGATGATCTATCTATTGATATAAGTGGGGTATTGAGGTCCCCTGCTATTATTGTGTTGCTGTTAATTTCCCCTTTTAGGTCTGTTAATAGTTGCTTTATGTATTTTGGTGCTTCTATGTTAGGTGCATATATATTTATAAGAGTTATGTCCACTTGGTGGAGTGTCCCTTCTCTCGTTAAATACTGCCTTCTTTGTCTCTCATTGCGTTTTTTGTCTTGAAGTCTACCTTGTCTGAGAAAAGTATAGCAACACCTGTTTTTGTGTGTGTGTGTGCATGTGAGGAAGATTGTCCCTGAGCTAACAACACCTGTTGCCAATCTTCCTCTTTTTGCTTGAGGAAGATTGTCCCTGAGATAACATCTGTGCTAATCTTCCTCTATTTTCTGTATGTGGGATGCCACCACACCATGGCTTGATGAGCGCACACCTGCTTTCTTTTGTTTGCTGTTAACTTTGAGTGTCATCTTCCAACCCTTTGCTCTAAGACTGTGTTTGTCTGTAGAGCGGAAATGTGTTTCCTGGGGTCAGCATGTTGTTGTGTCTTGTTTTTCAATCCATCCAGCCACTCTGTGTCTTTTGGTTGGAGAATTCAATCCGGTTACATTTAGAGTGATTATTGATATATGAGGGCTTAGTGTTGTCATTTTATCACTTGTTTTCTGGTTCTGTATTTCCCTTTTATCTCATCCTATGTATTTCCAACTGCCAATTCAGTTTGGTGCTTCTTTATGATGGTTTTCTCTTTATTTATCATTTGTGTCTCTGTTCTGATTTTTTGTTTAGTGGTTACTGTGATGTTTGTATAAAAGATCTCATAGGTGAGATAGTCCATTTTCTGATAGCCTCTTATTTCAATAGACTAAGCATGTTCCATCCCTTCCTTTTCCCCATCTAAGTTGCTGTTGTCACAGCTTATTCCATTTTGTGTTCTGAGCTGGTGGTTAAAATGAAGTGATTATTGTTATTTTTGATATTTTCCTTCCCTTTATCTTTAATGTTATAATTAAGTCTTGGGTGATCTGTTCTGATAAAGAGCTGCAATTTTCTGATTTTATCTGTCTATGTATCTCCTTTCTCAAGGCTTTTAAACTCTTTCTTTTTCCTTTCAGGCATGAGGGCCTTCTCGATCATTTCATGTAGGGGGGTCTTGTGGTGATGAACTCCCTCAGCTTTTATTTATCTGGGAAATTTTTATTTCTCCACCTTATCTGAAGTATGTTTTCACTGGATAGAGTATTCTTGGCTGAAAGATTTTGTCTTTCAGAATTTTGAATGTGTCATTCAACTCTCTCCTAGGCTATAAATTTTCTCCTGAGAAATCCACTAAAATCCTCATAAGGGTTCCTTTTTAGGTTATTTTCTTCTGCCTTGCTGCCCTTAATGTTTTTTCTTTGTCATTGACTTGCCAGTTTTACTAACATATGTCTTAGAGAAGGTCTTTTTACATTGATGTAATTAAGAATTCTATTATTTTCATTTACTTGTCATTCCAACTTCTTCCCCAAGTTTGGGAAGAAGTCCTCAGCTATTATTTCTTTGAACAAGCTCTCTGCTCTTTTCTCCCTCTCTTCTCCTTCTGGAATACCTATAATCCTTATGTTGCATTTCCTAATTGAGTCAGATATTTCTCAGAGAATTTCTTCATTTCTTTTTCATCTTAGTTCTCTTTGCTTCTCCATCTGAAGTTTATCTATGTTTCTGTACCTCAAATTACTAATTCTGTCTTCCATAATATCAGCTCTGTTATATAAGGACTCCAGATCTTTCTTTATCTCATTCATGGTTTTTCATCTCCAACATTTCTGATTGTTTTTATTTTATAGTTTCAATCTGTTTTGTGAAGAATTCCCTCTGTTCATTAATTGTATTCCTGACTTCATTGAACTGTCTTTCTCAAATTTCTTGTAACTTGTTGAGTTTTTTTTTATGATAGCTATTTTGAATTCTCTGTCATTTAGATTGTCAGATTTCTGTGGCTTCAGGATTGATTTCTGGGTACTTGTCATTTTCCTTCTGATCTGGGATATTGGTATGTCTCTTCATGCTATATGATGGTGGGGACTTGTGCTATCACATGGTCGTAGTATCTGGTTGCAGACTCCACCTACTACCACTGAGGAGAGGAGCAGAAGCTGTGTGTTCTGAGCCCACTGTGATCCATGGCAGCTATGTCTGTCCTTTGGAAGCTGTGCTGACAGGGCCCATCTGTATTTGCCCACTGGCTGCCACTGCTTTACCCACGTAGGAATGCAGGTGCTCTGGCTGACCAGCCAAGTTGGTGCACCAAGCAGGTGGGGGGGAGGGGTGCTTTCTTTTACATGTGCAATCCTGGCACTCCCACTATGCATTCACTATCTGTCCTCTTGGACTGCTCTGCTTGGTGATGATACCCCTGCAATTGCTTAGCCTCCTTGGTGTGCAGCTTCCCCACAGGCTGGGAGGCAACTCCAGAAGTGAAGACATTCCCATAGATGGCTGACCTCACCCTGCCTCCTCTCAGAGTTGCATGCTGGGTGCTGTGCACAGTCCCGTACCCTAGATCACTGCTCTTCAGGGAAGGAAAGGAGATCCCCTTACTTGCCTCCCGAGGAGTCTAGCACCTCCACCTTCAGATGTATGGCTGCATGGATCTCTCAGACATCTATTGTATTGTGTGTGTGTCCTCTTTTGATTTATGAACGTCCTTTTCATTTTTCCTTGTGGGCAAGAGACTAAGGGAAGAGCTAACTCCACGATGATGCTGATGTCACTCCAAATGGTTTCTTTTTATTGAGTTAAACTAGGATTTGATATTTTCTCTCACTAGCCTAGGAACTAAGATTATTTTGTTCTAAATACTTTCAAATACCTATCAAACTTGATATTCAAGGGATTCACCTTTAATTGCTTGTTAGTGAATTTAGTTACAAAAGGGTACTATTAGTTAATCAAGGGCCCTGACACATTGAGATTGAGGGCAGCTTTATGCAAGATTTCAGATTATTTTTTTACTTATCTCACCATGTATAATGCTACAATTGTATACATACTTCTCAGCAGCACGGCAACAATTTTTCAAATAAAATATTCTTTTGCTTATATGTTAATATATCAATGATAAAAATAGAAAGATATAATAAACTTTTCAAAAAATTGTATTCTAACATGTTGGCAAGTTTTATCATCCTGTATTATGAATAGTATAATACCATAAAAACCTGATAACTTTTCTGGAAGTTTCAGTAAGAGAAATCCAAAAATAAAAATAAAAATATGTTCTTCCATGACTCACTTTGTTTCTGCATTCATTTCAGGGTGAGTAAATTCTGTACTGCTCATGTCCTTGCCCATCTGCATGTGCTTCCTCTGTTTCCCAAAAGATATTAGGTGTGGTGTGTTGGGTTGAGAGGCAGCAACCTATAATTCTGACGATGCCAATGTTCACAATCTCCATCATCAGGGCTCCTGCCCAACTACATGATCTCAAAGAATGACACAGGAAGTGAGATTTCCTTCTCTTCTCTGTCCTTGAGGGAGTATATGGAATGTTCATACTCCAGAGAAAATTACAGCTCTCTAATCCCACATTCTTCTTACTGTTCAGGAAAAGAATTTCAGAGACATAATTTGCTCAAAGTAACACAATAATTTTAAGATGAGAATAGAGAACAATGACCCAAAAGATCTTTTATTTGTTTTGATGATGAAGCTCTTTGTTACGTTATGTAGTACAATTTAAGAAGTATTGTTAAAATATTGCATTCAGTGTGTCATGAATTATAGCCTATTTATTTCAGTATACAAATAGCAACTCATTTGTAGTGAATTGCAAGATTTGCATAATTATCCCATACATGAAGCTGAAATAGAAATATTCTCAAATACACAAATGAAATGAACTCAAGTAGTTTTATTCAGAAAAATGAATAAGAGAAAGTTGTTGGGTAGATGAATATGGCTTTTTAAATTAAGAAAGAAGATGAAATATTGGTAATTGTGAAAGACTCATTATTCAATAGTATTTATCAAGTGTTTTCTAAGTGTCAAGACCACTTTATTTCCCATGATAAATTTAGAGTTACCTGCACATCTCTTATTATAATGTTAGAATAACATGTAAAATCAAATAGCAGATTAAGACAAAATAACTAATAAAATAGCTAAACTGACAAAATGGCTAATATTCCAGAACATTCTGGTCACCTCATATAAAGGAAGCCTTGATTATTATTGAAAAGCAAAAGTTGGCATTCTAAGTGGAGATAAAGCTACTTTAAAATACAGAAAGTTTTACTCTAAATTTTTGAAAGTAAATATTGGAGAAAAAGACAGTAAAAGATAGATTTTTATTTGCTTAAAAAATCCCTTATATGGACATCTTACAGGAACCCCAGATAATCTTACTATAACAAAGAATTACTCAGATTAATGGGTTAAAAGCATTTTGGGCAGAGGGCTCAAAAACTCTATTCAGATTAATATCTGAGGTGTTAACTGTTTACCTGTGAAATCTAGGTAACACTCGCAAGATGAAGGATTCATCAAGGTGTAACGTGAGCATCCAGTCCTTTGTGGAAAGCAATGGCCAATTTAAAGATTGTCTCTGCGCTGATGACCTCTATTGTACTGTTAACAAATTGCTTGGAAAAAAACGCATCAATGAATCAGGTAATACATTGTTATATGGAATATTTACAGTCATGAAAAAGAAAAACACAATTTCAAAAGTAACCACATCTATGTAATTTGATTAATTCTCTTTTTGATAACAATTAATTCTTCATATAATTTAAGGTTCTATGAGCTGTAGATCTCAGTAAGTGCATGATATAGTTCTCTAATTGGTATCCACAATTTCAAGCTTCATTCAATTATAATCCATCAGAATATAGATTCACTCATTCAATGTGTATATTTGTGGGGCTCATTATGGTTTTGCACAAGACCTCAATGATAGAAGACAAGTAAGATATCATTTCTGTTGTTAAAGAACTCCAGGTCTCCTAAGAAAGACCTAAACATAACCACTTACCTAGAATTATAATTGCCTTTGGATAGGAGCATTTAATATGCATTTATTTACTGCCTACTCAAGGTGCCAGGCAAACGCTAAAGTAGTGGTAAGCAAAATAATCTGCATGTGCCTTGAGGGCACATAGATTTTCCAAGGGACATGTGAGATCAAATAGTTCTAGAGTGATCAATTTCCGGGTCCTTAATGTCCCTATGTACTCTCTCTGAAAAGCGGTCAGGTTGGAAATGCACCTGTTATCATAGAGTACTCACCTCTTCTTTCACAATCAACCTTCTCCCGCTTTATAGGAGTTAGGTTTAACTCTCATATATCTTGAATGGTCCCATTGTTGAACCCCTCCAATCATTTATGGTGAACTCATTTGGTAATTTTCTTTTTGTTCTTTTGAGGAAGATTACCTCTGAGATAATGTCCACTGCCAATCCTCCTCTTTTTGCTGAGGAAGATTGGCCATGAGCTAACATTTGTGCCCATCTTACTCTACCTTATATGTGGGATGCCTGCCACACATGGCTTCTTAAGCAGTGCATAGGTCCACACCTGGGATCTGAACCAGTGAACCCCAGGCTGCTGAAGCAGAGCATATGAACTTAACTGCTAAGCCACCAGGCTGGCCCCTCATTGGACAATTTTCTGTTATGTAAGTTTGCCTTTTCCAAAATTTCATATAAATGGAATTATGCAACATGCTGCCTTTCGAGCCTGATTTCTTTTATTTACCATAATGCATTTGAGATTCATCATTTTACGCATAAGTTCTGTTTTTTGAGGAGTAGTTTCCATTATATGGTTATATCACAGCTTGGCTATCCATTCTCCTTTGAAAGTTATTTGCATTATTTCCAGATTTTTAGAGATTATAAATAAAGCTGCCATAAATATTCACATACAAGATTTATATAAATGTAGGTTTTTATTTTTATTGGGTAAGAAATTATTGGGTCATATGGTAAAGTGTATGTTTAATTTATAAAAAGCTTTCATTCTGTATTTCAGATTTGATGTAATAATCAATGTATGAAAGTTCCAGTTGCTCAACATTCTCAGTAGCACTTGATTTTTTTTTTTTTTTGGCTTTCTAATACATATTTAGTGATATCACACTGTGGTTTTAATTTGCACTTAAATAATAATAATGTTGAGCGTATCTTCATGTGCTTATGTGTCATCTCTTTATATTATTTGGTAAATTGTCTCCTCAAAATTTTCCCCATTTTTAAATTGAACTTTGGCGTTTTTCTTGAGTTTTAAGAGTTGTTTCTCTATATTGAATAGTATCTATCAGAATATGTGTTTTGTAGACTATATTTCCCAGTATATATCTTTCATTTTCTTAAGTGTCTTTCAAAAAACAGAATTTATCATTATTATTATTTTTATGGATCATGGCTTTAATGTTGCATTTAAGAAATTTTTACCCAACCCAAATTCACAAAGACTTTCTCATATGGTCTAGAAGTTGTGTAGTTTAGGTTTTACATTTAGGTCTTTGGTACATTTCAAGTTAATTTTTGCATATGGTGCAAGCAATGGGTGGTATTTGATTTTTTTCCATATGGATATCTGATGGTACCACTATATTTGCCGAAGAGACTATCAGTTTCACCTTTCTCAAAAATCATTTGGTTGTATATTAGTGGTTTTATTTCTAGACTTTCTTTTCTCTCCAATGATCTATATTTCTGTACTTCTGCCAATACTTTACAGTCTTACTGTAGCTTTATAGGATGTCTTGAAATCAAGCAGTGTAATTCTTTTAACTTTATTCTTTTTAAAAATTGTCTTAGTTATTCTCCTTCTTTGCTTTTCCATATGAATTTTACAATCAGCTTGTCATTGTCTACAAAAAATCCTGCTGGCATTTTGTTTCAACTTACATTGAAATGTAGATAAATTTGGGTAGATTGACATTTTCACTATAAGAGTTTTAAAATCCATGAACATGGTGCTTCTTTCCATTTAGTTAGGACTTCTTTGGTTTCTTTTATCATTATTTTATAGTTTTCAGTCAATAGTTATTGCAGACATTTTGTTAAGATTTATACAAATATACGTCACTTTTTTGATACTATGGAAAATGGTAATTTATTTTACATTTTAATTTCCAATTAATCCTATCTAGTATACAGAAATACAGTTGATATTTTATATGGACTTTATATCCTGTGACTTGCTCAACTCAATTATTAGTTCTAGTAATTTTCTTTTCCAGAATGTATAGGATTTTCTATGTGGACAACCTTTATCTGTGAATAGAGAGAATTTTATTTCTCCCTTTCTAATCTATAGGCTTTTATTTCTTTTCCTTGCTCTATCATTCTGAGTAGGACTTTCAGGATCATTGGGAGTGGCCATCCTTGCCTTTTTACCTATGTTAGGGGGAATGCATTCAGTTTTGCACCATAAAGAGTGAGTTTTCAGCAGTGCTTTCTTCGCAAATTCCCTTTATCAGGCTGAGGAAATTCCTTTTTATTTCTAGTTTGCTTAGAGCTTTTTATCAGGAATGGATAAATGGATGTTAAATTTTGCAAATGTTTTTTCTGCCTCTATTGAAATTATTATGTTTTTACTACTTTAGTTTTTTATATGGCAAATTTTATTGTTGATGTTTGAATGTGGGATCCAATCCTTCATTCCAAGGCTACATTCTGCTCAATCATGACGTATTACTAATTTTATATATTTCTGGATTTTCAATTTGCTAATTTTTTGTTGAGAGTTTTTAATCTATGTTCAAAAAGGATATTGGCATGTTGTTTTCTTTTTTATAATGTATTTGTCTGGTTTTGTGGCCTGGGTAATGCTGTTCTTTTAAAATGAGTTGGGGAGTATTTCTTCCTCTTCTTTATGCTAGAACAGTAAACAAATAATTGGCATTATTTCTTCCTTAAATGTTTGATTCAACTCACCAATGAAGATATCTGTGCCATTCTTCATCGGAAGATTTTAAATCTTCAATGTGTTTAATTGTTATGAAATTGTTCTGCTTGTTTATTTCTTCTTGAGTGAGCTTTGATAGTCTGTGTCTTTCAATAAACTTGCCCATTTGTTGGATTTATGCTGAATTTTTATTTTTAGAATTTCCATTTTATTCCTTCTTTTTGTTTCTATCTCTCTGCTAAGTTGCTCCTAATAGTCCCAAACTGTCTTTCAAATGTTTGTGGGATTTGTAGTAATGTCTTCTCTTTCCTTCAGATACTGGTAATTTGTATCCTGTCTGTCTCTGTGTGTTTCTGTCTTTCTCTCTCTGTCTCCGTCGTCTCTTTCTCTCTTACGCTCTCTCTCTCTCTCAGTTTTGCTGTTTATTATTTCTTTTATTGTCTTTGGTTTGACTTGAAGTAGCTCTTCACTCTCTATTTTCTTAAGATAAAAGCTTATATCACCGATTGGAAGTTTCCTTCTTTCCTCATATAAGCATTTTATTATATGAAGTTCCTTCTAAGTGCTGTTTTAGTTACATTCACAAATTTTAATATGTCGTGTTTTCATTTTTATTCAATTCAAAATATTTTCTCATTTCCCTTGTGATCTCCTCTTTGATTCATGGCTTATTCATAATACTATAGTTTAATTTCTGAGCATTTGATGATTTCCCAGATATCTTTGCTATTTATTTCTAATTTCAGCCTCATTAGAGAACATATTTTATATAGTCAATTCTTAATGACAATGATCATTGCTATATATCACTTGGATATTGTGATACATATACACTCACAGAGTACTTGAAGTTACAGAGGAAGAAATAATGATGACTCAGCAGGCTTCACAGAGGAATGGTAGACTTGGGGCTTGTTGGGTACCTTGGATTCATTTGGGAGACAAAATAAAATGTACATTCTAAACAGAGGAAACAGAATAAAACAGAGCACATTTGAGGAGCAAGAAATCCTTTGTTAAGCTGAATTGTAGAATGGAGGAGCATTAGGTGATGAGGCTAGAAAGAAACCAGATGTTTATATAAAGGAGGAAAGCTGAACTTACATATCTTTCTAAAGAGATTAGACTTTGAACTTGTTATGATGAGCTGCTAATGCATTTTAAACAGAGGGAATGCAGAATCAGCTTTTCAAAGGATATCACAGGCAGTGGTGTAGAGGATGGAATGGAGGGGAGGGAAAGATGCAGGCCAGGGACATAGTTAAAAAACCGTCGGGATAAATTGGGACAGAGGTGATATATGCCTAAACTAACACTCTGGTGCTGAGGACTATAAGGAAAAGACATAGTTAAGAAAAATTTCTGAATTATAATCAATAGGAATTGTGACAGCTGGATTCGAAGAGTATGAAATGTATTAATCTTGTTGTACAAGTTGCTAGCTTAGGACAAGGGTCTTGCTGTACATTGAGACAGAAAAGAAAGAATCAAGTGCAGGGTTGGGGACAGAAGTGATGAGTTATATTTTGGAGACATTGCATCTGGGACATGCTTTAGAACATTCAAAATGTTAGCATTTTAAGTTTCACATGATAAAAAAAAGTAGTTTAAAAAAAAACAAATGAAGGAAGCTGCCACATCTAACTGGCATTTGGAAACGTGGATCTTGCACTGAAGAGAGTAATCCAAAATAGCTATTCAGATTTTGGAGTTAAATTTTATAAGAAGTAGATAAAAACATGAAGGAGGATAA